GGAAGATGTTCGTGATCAATATTCGAACAGAATGATCACCGACAGAAAATACTTGCGATCAACTCATAAACAAGGAGGGGACTTGACCGATACATTAGAGAGAAGACTTTAAGTTTTGAGAGAAAATAGCTTTATTTGAAAGTTTTGCTCTTACGAGATAGAGCGAATTGAAAATGAACGGCATGTGTACGAGAGTTTGTTAACAGGGACTGATTTGATTTGCATTTTTGACCGGAAGAAAAACGAAAAGGTTTTGAAAATCAGGTTTTTCTTGCTAGCATCTAATAAAGTCGAACAAATCTAACAGAAAACAGTCGAAGTCTAGTACATAGTCTTATGTTTTTCCATTCTTTGGACAAGACAAGATCTCTGAGTTGCTTTGTCTCATCATATGATCTGTACTGTTTATACAGCACAAATATGGAAGATAATGGTAATTATGTTTTTTGTCAACGAATTTTTGTCGACACGACGCTTTGCCAACGCTGCGTTCCGTGTGCATGACAGTTCATCGTCTAAACACTCTTACAGAAAGGTCAAAAAAATCCAAACGATCAAAAATATCACGTTGAATTTCATTGAAAGTTTTAGTTAAATAACTTAAATATCGCACAATATATCTAATGCAAGAAACAACTAAGTGCAAAGAAATGAATAAGAAGAATAAAATATCTGAAAATTTATGGATAAATATGAAGACTATGTATACAATTATTACTTTTTTTTAGCAATCATAAGTGTAAATTCGACAAGGTACTCGTAGAGCGTGATGTCTTTCTTATTGTATTTATGAGTTAAGTTCTCTAATCATTGCTATGTTTCACAAGCTTTATTCCCGTTTTGTCTACTTTCTCCATCTTCGCTCGTTGAACAATTTGCTTTGCATAAACCTCTTTCTGTCGAAGAACTTTGATGTTGTGGCGGATATCATGCAGACAGTAATAATTAAAAAACAAGCCTGAAGCTTTTCTCGGCAACGACCGAGATAGAGAAGAAATATTAATCGTTCAACGAAATAAATGTGGCCGAAATGTTTTGTCGACAAAGTGATTTGACGAAATGTTTGTCGCCGAAAGGCACGTCGATGAAAGTGTCTATCGACCAAAAACATAGGATTCGAAGATAAGAATGTGAGACTCACATACGAAGCTTATGTAGTATACGACTGAGTAATAACTTAAAGGGAAAGAATGGAATCTTGAAATTCTACTGAATTCAATGAAGCGCCAGAATCTTAGAAAACCTCAAGAAGCTTGGAGTATCTTTAAAGATCCTAGGAAATCACACTGAATGCTCAGAAATTTTATAGAATCGTAAAATCGTGAGCCTAATGTCTATATATATATCGGCTTCTCCGAGCGCATCGCGATGACGTTTTCGCTACAGTTTTATTAGATTTTCTCAACAGCTGAGTAGTGTAGAAGGACCATCGTTTCGGTGAAAGATGTACCTCTATCATCCCCACAATTCGTGAAAATATTACCTCATTTGATCGAATTGTGTAAAAATTACAGTAAAAATATACGACAAAACGCAATGATGAATTAGGGACAAAAAATTGAGGGTGCTTCACTTTTTGTTTGTTTTTACTTGAATATATTCTACTGTTGCAAAACTTTTCTATCACCAGGTAATAGAAAACACTTTGGTCTATTCAATGAAAGAAAAAAAAACTCTGAAGATCTTTTTATGGAGGGTGATATTTTTGTCACATTAACATAACGCGATGACGAAAATCAGAAAATGAAGTGCTATTTTTCTCTATGAGGGTCTATGAGAATTTAGTAGATGTGAGTCTGGCCTCTCAGTGTTGTAGTCTAGAACAACATCCAACCATTTGATGCTATACTATGGAAGACTATACTCATCATATTTGAATCGAAATTTTTAAACTCTGGTCCTAAGGATGGGTGGGGTCGAATAACTGAACGCCGACAAGTACCGACGGTAAGCTCGGTGTACATCGCTAGTTCACCGTCAGTATTGCACTGTCCTTCAGTGATCACTGACATCGATAGTACTGAAACACTGATGTCTTATGCATCACCGACCACTGATCCACTGGTACTTTCGGTGTCACCGATGATTTCAGGCGCGCTGCTTTCACTGACACATTAATCTCGCTGTTCATTGCTTATAGTTCGTGAGCGAGATATCATGACATCTTTCAGATGAAACATTGAAATACGTTGGATAGTTTCATTAATCGAGAGAGTAAATCAGATGAACAGTTTATCGAATGTATATACTGTATTTTGTTTTCAGCTGACTCGACCAAATGTTAAATTCCATAATAGAATTAGCCAAATGTTGTTTCTTATAATTATCTAATAGATGTTCCTTATTATAACAATTGTTTTCCACCATTTTGTTCTTCTTTCTTTTTCTTTTATTACGACTATATCCCTAGAAGTACAGTCTCTCGACAGTCTTTCTTTATTCTTTCACTCCTGATCTATTAAAGGTGTGGGGTATGGGTATGTGTGTGAATGTGAGTATAATGACAATAGAAAGGGTAATACCCACGTCGATAACCACACCCAGACTCACACACACTCATAATAAAACTTTAATTTATCTTGAAAACAGTATGCATCTAATCTTTGAACGTTTTCTATTCATTCTAAGCATGTCTTGTTTTTATAATATGACAATCAATGACAAGATGTCAGTGAAATTAGCGCGCCTAAAGTCATAGGTGACACCGAAAATACCAGTGGATTAGCGATCGGTGATGCATAAGACATCAGTGTTTCAGTACTATCAGTGTCAGTAATCACTGAGAGACAGTGCAATACTGACGGTGAACTAGTGATGTACACTGATCGTCAGTAGCAGTGCAACAGTATCAGTTTTTTAGTATTATCCCTGACACCGCACATCCCTATCTATATACACTTAGAACATATAAGCATATCAAAAAACGAAAAAAAAATATTTTTTTTTCTCAAATCATTTTTCTCTATTTCAGAAACAGGTGGCATGATTTGTTATCAAATGGTGTATTTCGTTCTTCGTTAGGAATCCTGCTGGAAAGAATCAACAATTTGACACTGGAATCAGTTCCGGATGAAGCTGAACGGATCTGTTCAATGAAAATATTGTCTACATGAAATTTGTATAATACCACGGAACTGGCCGTTTCCGTGCCAGATTGGTTGACCTGGATATATTTTAACTTGAACGCAAATTTATTATTTGGTCATTCCTAAACTAACTTTTATTTATATTTGTTTAGATCAATCTAATCGACCAATAACTTCTATCGAAAATTTATCCGATGAAATTTTTTATAACATATTTGATTATATTGATGCTGTTAGAATCGATCAAACATTTTTAAATATTAATTATTCGTTATCAACAAGTGCTTCGTTCTTCAGCATTTCTCTTGAAGATTAAATTTCAAAATATAACAAAGGAGCGTAACCAAGGGAAAGTTATCCGGGATATGGTTAGCTCTTTTACAGAAAAAAAATGTTTTTTTATCAAATCATTTTTCTTTGTTTTAGAAACACATGGCATGATTTATTACCAAATGGTATATTTCGTTCTTCGTTAGGAATCCTGTTGGAAAGAATCAACAATTTGAAACTGTTATCAGTTCCGGATGAAACTGAACGGATCTGTTCAATGAAAATATTGTCTACATGAAATTTGTATAATACCACGGAACTGGCCGTTTCCGTGCCAGATTGGCTGACCTGGATATATTAATGTCAATTCCTTCAAAAATAAAATCTCTTTCTCGGCTTTTCTCGTTAACTATTAGACATCGATATCATCATATAGATCTAACTCATATTTGTCGAATCATTTTCGCTTTACCTGTATTAAAATACTACAAGTTCACGACAAACAAATCATATTTATCTGTTTTAATAATAACTGCCAGTAATGAACAATTGAATAACATCGAACATCTTGTTATGAATCATCATTGTACTTTCGAAGATCTGCCTATGATAACAATTTATACACCCAAACTCCAACATTTATATTTTATCAATGAAAAAGAATTGAATAATTCAATCCGTGATATTATTCTTCCGATTCCATTGTGCAGTTTAACACATCTTACTGTTCGTGATTATTATAAAAATTTTAATGAATTTGAAATATTTATCAGTCATTTAAATTTAAAATTAAAAGTTTTATTTATCACTGTTAAATTTCAAGATATAACTTATCTTAATGCTTTTCATTGGGAAGAATTTATTCGAAAACATTTACCACAACTAAAAAAATGTTATTTAAATCATTTCGAAGGAATTCAATTTCCAATAAATCCTCAGCAGTTAAATCAATTCTCTTCAATATTCTGGATTAAACGACAATGGATAATGGAAATTCAATTTGCAGATGGATATACTACGCATCTAATTCGTCCATACAGGTACATGAAGAAGAACTTTATCTTAAATAAATATATCTTTTTTTTTTGTTTAGAAAAACATGGTTTCTCGATTCTTCATTTATACAATTAACTCTTATATATTATTCTGATAGATTTGGAGGAATAAGAACTATAGATCGTAGACATTTTTTAAGTACAATACAAATTTATGACTTGAAAATTTCTGACGAAAATATCTTTGCAGGTTTATTAATTCAATTGATTAATTTCTTACCGAAACCTGATTCTTTGAAAATTCATTGTTTATCATCATTTGATCAATCTGAAGTGTATCTATTAAAGAGATTATTACTCTTTGTTCAATAGGCGATACATGTCAAATTACAAAAGTTTATCTTGAGAAGGCGACTGAAATTGAAGAAGTTTATTTACTTATGAAGCTTTATCCTTGGCTCACAATTTGTCAAAGTTGGTTACATTAATAAAAACAAAATTAAATTGATTTTTATGACATATTTTGAAGAAAATTAATCATAAACGTATTTGCCAATTTTGCTCATTACCTTTATATGTTCCAGCAGTCGACAATAAAATAGTTCATCAATTACAAGAAATGATTAAAAATGAGAGCCTATTGTTAAATTTTACAATTAAACGTGAACTTGACAATATTTATTTGAAATGGATATGATTTTTTTGTATTTGTTTTTGTGTACATTAAACTTTTTAGAATATGAATTCGAATAAATATTTCAAGGTAGATGTAGACAAAGAAAATATAAATCTACATTCTCATGAATTGAGGATATGAGTATCGATAAAGAATAAATATAATCCTCATGTATGCTAACCGATGAATCTAAACCTTTGCCTCTTTCTATCAGTGAAGACGAGGATAACTCTAGTAACATATATACATACAAATGTGAAGTTTGATGTTGACAATATATAATTATGTTTGAAGGAACAATGCGTAAGTTATCTTATTAATCAAAGTCTGTTATCGAAAAACATATACACAGAGAAAAGGATGGTTTCTAATGGAACAGTTTATTGTGAAGACCATAATGGAACGATGAGAAAAAAATTTTAAACATTAACAATTGACGGTGTTTCTTTCATTACCATCGCATTCCAGCGATTCTTTTCTACTCAAAGGTAGATGATATAAATCAAGAGAAAATTAAAGGTGGAAACTTCGGATTGTGTCCGAGAGTTATGTGTACTGCAAAAAGTGTATATGGAAATCATAGGGAAGTAACAGTATTTTTGCAATAACCCAGGAATGGCCCGGCCAATTCTGCTCATCTTCGAACTCGACCGAGATCTCGATGAGACAGTTCTGTGCACAAAATTTCAGCTCCATCGGCCTATTCTTTCAAACCTTATCGTGTATACGGTCGGACGACCGGCCACACTGATCGATTCTAGCACTGTACTCACTTTTTGAGTACACAAAAAGGGTTTATCAATGGGTAGAGCACGTTGATAAACTGATTTTTCGGTTAGAAACCCTTTTTGAAGGTTTATCATTCTCCGGAAATTTCTATCAGTGTAGGCATCTATCTATGTAGTAATCTACCTATTTATCTACCTGATAGGTATATAGGTAGATAAATCCCAGTGATATTATCACTGGGATATGACATGCACTCACACTTGTTTCACTACATTAGTAAGCACATAGAGAAGGGTAAACAAAAGTTACGCACAAAAGCATATATAAAACGAAGAAAAGTAGTGAGAAAAGCGGCAAATTCAATTCATTCACGTTAATATCAGTTCCGTTCTTCTCAAAGATCTGTTGACACAGTGAAGTTTCTTTCGAAAGAGTTATTATACAGTTTCTAGGATCGAAGTTAATATGGAACTGTCATATACCTACGATAAACAAGGAAATGAAGAAATCTAATAGAATGTTTAGCAGTTTTCACATAGTCATTTTTTATGTACTGTAATATTTCGCATAGTATTTTCACTTCTTTTTCTTGTAATAATATCGATTTGTGTTGTGATTACCAGAGCATTTACAAGTTTCTGTTCATTTATAATTTGTATAAATGTGGCTCACTTAAATAAAAGTAACTGTTGCTATATCATTAACATTAACAGCACATAATGATACAAAATTTGTTGTTGTGAGACTTATAGACGTCATTGAATTAAAATGTCCTTCTATAATACTATTTTGTGCAGAAACTATGTGCACCAGTTCCCTATGTGCAGAACACTTACCAATTACTTTTACACGGTAAAATAATGAAGAAAGTATTTGCATGATCCACATACGAAACTTTCAATCGGACAATATCGTCGGTAACATACATTCGTTGTCGTTTAGCCGAATTAAATTTATATTTGATAAGTGATTATTGTGCATTTTCAAGACATAATTATTTGGCTTGTTCTCGAAGTTGTCCATAATAGTTTTGGACATTTGAAATAACAATTGAATTAGTAGTGTTAGGTACCAATGCAGATCTAACGATACATTCTTCACAATCAATAATAATATCTGATGCTATATCATCTTTATCATTACTTTTTTCTTGGTCCACATCATGCGTAATTCTTTCAATTATGTTTGACTGTTTTTTTATCATTATCGATTTGACCAGAAGCTGATTGAGACTCAACATCATCGACATCTTTAACTATACTCCCAGTATCATCAGATAAATCTTCTTCTATAATCATCGAATTCACATCACCTAGTTGTTGATGATTAAGAATATATGTCCAAAAAAAAACAGAATCTTTAGCACATGGATATTCACCAAGTACTACTTCAGAAGGAATTTTACTTGTACTTCTTGCTACAGTAATATTAATAGCAAACATCAATAGATAAAAACCTGAAGACCTACCTGATATGTGTTTGTATTTAACCGCTTCCTTAGTAATTATTGAACGGCATAGTTACCTCGCCACAGTACTTCCTGAAACTTGGTATGTTTTGGGCTATCATCTACTATTAACAAATTGAGCCAGATTTTTGTTAAATCTACGATTGCCTTAGCCACAAACTCAATACCGTTATCTCTTTTGAAGTATCTTTGGACGCCCAAAATTGACAAAAGATTGATTGTAATATAGCTGCTACATTGTTGGTTCCTGTTCAGATTAACGGAAATAATCAAGCGTATTTTTGAAATCAGTCTTTAGCATGAAATATTTATGTATAATTGTTGTATTCAGTAGTTCTTATGTCCATCGAATCCATTTGCACTTTCGTCATACAACAAACTGATACTATTGGTTTCTATCAATTGGTTTGAGAAAAATCTCTTTGTGATATACAGTGATCACATAAACTAATGAAACAGGGTGATTATTTCAAGCAGTATCTGAGTATACCAGCGTTTAATCTAAACTACAAAGAAAAGTGTCAAATGGAGCCTAGCAGAATCTGGCATTAGAGCGTAACTCACTCCAAGTCTAGTCTCGATCCGAACGACCAACAGAAATATGACATTCACTAAATCTTTCAGATAAATTTCAATGTTCTACAATAAAATGTGGATTGACGAGCAATTTTAATGATAGTAAAACGTTTTTTTATTGAAAAATCGATTTGTGTAACAAATTTTTTCGTTTTAAAATACTTGTAGTATTTTGTTGTACATTTTTATTGGAATCATATATTTTGATTATCGTTTGACTATCAATGCATTTAGATATACATCTAATTTTGAGTAGAATGCATCTTTCATTATTAAAAATCATGATAGTACGACATGTATTAAAAACACTTTGTTAAATCCACATTGAGAAGCCTCCAACAATTGAAAGTCATTTAGTATCAGTGATTACATAACAACTTTACATTTCTACATTTTAAAGTCAACACTGACATAAATCTGTATGTACACGACATACCACAGTTCGCTTTATTGTTGATATAAGTTTTCTTCATTCATTTTTTATTAATAACTAATGTATTTCGGAATAGTCACTACCATGTACAACTACGTTTATTATAAGATATAAAAAAACACAATGAAACGAACGAATAAAAGACAAACTATTGAATGATATCGTTATTGTTATCGAACGATTTTGTCGAAGCCGTTCCATAATTTATTTCCGATGTGGAGGTTGTGTTTTCTAAAAAGAAAATTATTGTACGGGTCCGATCTAATATCAGTAAGTATAGTGATACGTACGTGTACCGCTATCGCCATATATTCCAGAATTGTAACTATCACTCCTGGTCCAGTATACACTGCCATATGTTCTATTTCTTCTGGTTCTCCTTGTTGTTGCTGGTGTTGTTGCTCCTCTTCAGTTTCTCCTGCTTCACTAGCTATTTCCATATCTTCTTCTCCTTGTTGTTGTTGTTGTTGTTGTTGTTGTTGTTGTTGTTGTTGTTGTTGTTGTTGTT